TTATAGTCATCTGTTATGTCACAATCCCGCTTCCGACGGGGAGCTCGTAAATAAACGACCCGGATTTGCTGGAAGAGTGACTAGGGAAGTTATTGGGCGCTCCATAGTTGAGCCGTGGTCAATCTAGAACCACGTACACGCAGCCAGCTGTGCCCTCTCTTCACACCTCCTTTTCCTGTTCTCTATGCTATATGCAACAGTATCACTATTCAAGGTCTAGTTTATGCGATAGAATAGCTTCTCTATTGGTATACAGGCGGAATATATTATCATTATTTATATGCAAAACGTTCTGGATCGATTATTACCGTTCTTGTGCACATCTAGGCCCTAGCTCTCTTCCTATTGATGTAACTGCTATGTCTAGTCCCAAGTCCCGCAGCAAGATGGATGACGTGGTTTTCATCCAAAGATGTCTGTGGCGTATCGTTCCTTTTGTAGACGTTTGAATGCCTCTATCGCCTCTTCTCGCGACGGCGTTGACTTGGCTATCAAAGTGATGCAAGCCTCTCGTATACCAGCGGCGACTGCCGATCCTCCACAGGTGAAAAACTAAAAGTATGGACGAGGTATGAGTAATTTGGAAAACGAAGCAGAGTATTTTCGTGATACTAACCTTGGCTTTTTGCTTATACATTGCATCTACATCCTCTGCATCCTTCAAGATGCGATCTTGAACATATCGACACCCTTCGCTCTTTTCGGGTGCCCGAGAGAAAGCAGGACGGACGTCAACCACGCCCATATCGACCCACTTCTTCCACTCTGGATCCGTCGAGTATAGATAATCCTTTCCAGGATCTCGGCATCCAAAGAAGAGAAGAATCTTGCCCACATCATGTCCGAGTTTACGACCCGACTGGACTTGAATTGCGCGCTCTTGGATGAAGCCTCGCATAGGAGCAACACCTGTTCCCGCACAAAATAACACCATAGGCACGCTCGGGTCGGCAGGGAGGGAGAACGCGGCAGCAGACGGCCGAACAACCATTTGCACCAGGTCCCCGGGATGCAAGTCTGCCAAGAAGGTTGACCCAACGCCCAAAAACTGTTCACCAGAGCCAGATGACGCGGGTGCATTCAGGATCGATACGGTTAGAGTCACGTGCGATGGGTTCCATAGTGGTGAAGAGGAGATGGAGTACTGTCTGACACGC